TGACCTGTGTTTTTGGAGTTAGTTCCACAGGCCATGGGATTGCAGTTTTCTTGCTTCTAGTGTCTTCCCCCTGGTGGGTGAGGCTGGTCTAGAGGCTTGTCCAGGCTTCCTGGTGGGAGGGGCCAGTGCCTGCCCACTGGTGAGTGGAGCTGGGTGCTGGCCCTCTGGTGGGCAGGGCCATGTCAAGGGGCATGTCTGGAGGTGGCTGTGGGCTCAGGAAGTCTTCGGGCAGCCTGTCTACTGATGGGTGGGGCTGTGTTCCTGCCCTCTTGGTTGTTTGGCCTGAGGCGTCCCAGCACTGGAGCCTACAGGCCGTTGGGTGGGGCCAGGCCTTGGTGCCAAGATCCCAAGCGAGATGTCTACCTCCAGCCAGAGTTCACATCAATGAACACTCCTCAGTGTGTCAGCCACCAGCTTTTATGATCCTAGAGAGAGCCACAGCTGCCCCCTGCCTTCCCAGGAGACCCTCCAAGACCAGCAGGGAGGTCTGGCCCAGGCTCCTATGAAGTCACTGCTTTTGCCCTCAGTCCCAGTGCACAAGGACCTTGTATATGCCCTCCAAGAGTGAAGTCTCTGTTTTCCCCAGTCCCGTGGAGCTCCTACAATCAAGCCCCACTGGCCTTCAAAGCCAAATGCTCTGGGGCTCCTCCTCCCAGTGCCAGACCCCTAGGCTGGGGAACCTGGTGTGGGGCTCAGAGCTCTCATTCCTTGGGGAGAATTTCTGTGATATAATTATTCTCCAGTTTGTGGGTCACCCACCCAGGCTGTATGGGATTTGATTATATTACGAGTGCACCCCTCCTACCATCTCACTGTGGTTTCTTCTTTATGTCTTTGAATGTAGAATATTTTTTTTTGGTAGCCTCCAGTCTTTTTTACTGATGGTTGTTCAGCAGTTAGTTGTGATTTTGATGTGCTTGTGAGAGGAGGTGAGCTCAAGGTCCTTCTACTCCATTACGTTGTCTCCAGTCCTGCTCCTGTTTGCTTGTTTCTTAATCCAGCCTCCCAGTTTTAGTGATTTGGAATGTCTGACCCAGTTAAACTTAATTACTATAACTACAAATACTATTTGGTTCCTATTTGGTTCATTTGTTAATTTTCCTTTTTCTCTTTTTTTTTGGCCATCTTTTATTAATCAAATATGTTAAAATATTTCATTTAATCCTCTCTGTTAACTTTATATATATATATATATATATATATATTTACTACTGTTGACCCCAGAGATTACAACATACATCCTTAGCTTATTACAGTCTAATAAAATTATTAATTTACCATGCTAGGACCTTACAACACTTTATGTCATTTACCCATTCACTTTTTTTTTTTTTTTTACCCATTCACTTTTGTGTTACACATGTCCTTCATTTTAATTTTACATATATCTTAAACCCATAAGATGTAATTATTATTGCTTTTTGTAGTTAATTATTCATTTATATTTACCTACATATTTACCCTTTCCATTACTTTTCATTAGTTTGTGCATTTCTGTGTTTTTCTCTGGGATTATTTCCTGCCTGCTTGAAGAATCTGCTGGTGATGAATTCTCTCAGTTTTTGTTTGTTTGAAAATGTCTTTTATCACTTTCATGTTTGAAGGATATTTTTAATGGGTAGAGATTTCTAGGTTGCCAGTTACTTTCAGCACTTTTAGGTTGCTATTAGTTGTTACTTTCCTCCCCCCTGCCGCCCCCCACCCCCACCCCTTAGTTGTAAGTAACTTGCTGGGGTGAATACCTGACCCAGACTAAACTAAACATATTCCCTCTTTTGCAAATTAGAAATGAAAACCTGAGGTATCAGTGGTGGACTTTGCAGAAGAAAGGTCAGAAGGGATCACTGGGGCCAGTAGCATTGGAAACAAGTCAGAGTTGGGGGGAGCAGTAAAGAAGGGTCTTGCAAGGCAGTGGAATTAGCTGAGAGGAGTGGAGGGGGGAGCCTGAATGGCCCTAGTGGAAGGGAGATGGGGAGGGCAGCTACCTGCTGACTTCCTGATTTTCAAAGGCCCGCATGTAGTTTCTGTGAGGGGTCTCTGTATATTTACCTTGGGCTTTTGCTTTAGTAAACGTCTTTACATTTCAATCAACAAAAAAATTTTGTAAAAAACAAGAACTTTTACCTGAAAACTTGACACATCATAGGCATTTTATAATTGGTGGCTGCGGCTGTTGTTATTCAGATCCTAAAGTGGAGTAAAGAGCTGATCCTCAGGATTTTCTAGTCATGCCAGTGGGATGGGCCGCATGTTTTAGGGGGCTCTGTTATTCAAATGCAAATTTACTATTGGGTTGGTCAAAAAGTTTGTTCAGTTTTTTTCCATAAGATGGCTCTAGGAGTGCTTAGTTGTCTAACTTCATTTGAAACAATTTCATTAGATTGTATTGTGACAGCTGTCATGTCAGCCTGCATTTAAAAAAAAAAAACTTATCAAAACTGGTGAATTTTTGTGCAGCCATGTTGAATATGGAATATTGAAGGTGGAAGAAAAAAAGCAACATTTTCGGCATATTATGCTTTATTATTTCAAGAAAGGTAAAACCGCAAATGAAATGCAAAAAAGACTTGTGCAGTATATGGAGAAGGTGCTGTGACTGATCGAACGTGTCAAAAGTGGTTTGTGAAGTTTTGTGCTGGAGATTTCTCTCTGGACGTTACTCTGTGGTCGGGTAGACCAGTTGGAGTTGATAGTGTTCAAATCGAGACATCAATTGAGAATAATCAACATTATACCACACAGGAGATAGCCGACATACAATATCCAAGTTGAGCAATGAAAATCATGTGCACCAGCTGGGTTATGTCCATCGCTTTGATGTTTGGGTTTTACGTAAGTAAAGCGAAAAAAATCTTCTTGACTGTATTTCCACATGCGATTCTCTGCTTAAACGTAACGAAAATGTTCCATTTTTAAAACATATTGTGACGGGAGATGAAAAGTGGATAGTGTACAATAATGAGGAATGGAAGAGATCGCGGGGCAAGCGAAATGAACCACCACCAACCACACCAAAGGTCGGTCTTCATCCAAAGGAGGTGATGTTGTGTATTTGGTGGGATTGGAAGGGAGTCCTCTATTATGAGCTCCTTCCAGAAAACCAAACGATTAATTCCAACAAGTACTGCTCCCAGCACCCCTGCGAACATGGTGCTGCGAGTGGCATGGAGAGTGCGGGCCGCGGTCTGCAGCCTGCGCCCAATGCACCCTGCCTGCCGCGGCCCTGGGGACTGTGGGCGGGCGCCGTCCGGGCGCTGCGCACTGGACCCACTCTACTGTCGGGTCGTAAATTCACAGACAACCATGAATGGGTAACAACAGAAAGCGGTGTTGGAACAGTAGGAATCAAACATTTTGCACAGGAATCTTTGGGAGATGTTGTTTACTGTAGTCTGCCTAAAGTTGGGACAAAATTGAACAAACAAGAGGAATTTGGTGCTTTGGAAAGTGTGAAAGCTGCTAGTGAACTCTATTCTCCTCTATCAGAAGTAACTGAAATTAATGAAGCCCTAGCAGAAAATCCAGGACTTGTCAACAGATCTTGTTATGATGATGGTTGGCTGGTCAAGATGACACTCAGTAATCCTTCAGAACTAGATGAACTAATGAGTGAAGAAGCACATGAGAAATACATAAAATCTATTGAGGAGTGAAAATGGAACCCCTAAATAAATTAGTTTGAAACAACTTAATCTAGCATAGTTGTCTTAAATTAGTGGTGGATAGATTTTTAAAAAGCAACTTTTAGCAAAATAAACTACTTGCAACAATGTTGCCTGAAGAAAATACCCCTTAACCTCCTAATGATTTCAGATAAACACATGCATCTTTTTCACAACAGCCTGTGATTTTTAGGCTAGTCTCCAGTTATAATACTCAGAATTCCTGAAATTATCTGTGGTAAAACTAGTTATAAAAATGATGCAATTCAAGGATAACATTGTTATCTTAACCTTATATAATATTGTAACTTGCTTACAGCCATCCCTGGATTTGGGTCAAAATACTCAATGAACTTGCCACTGGAAATAAATGGCAGTGGAGAAAAGTTTGCTAGTTGTATAGTGTCCAGTAAAGAACATTACTATCTTAATTTTGCAATATACTGTGTTTGCTGGTGCTATTTTTATACAGTAAAGCAATAGCCTTGCCGGAAAATAAGAAACAGTTTAATAATAAAATATTCAAATTCTTAAAAAAAAAAATACTGCTCCCAATTAGACCAACTGAAAGCAGCACTCAATGAAAAGCATCCAGAATTAGTCAACAGAAAACGCATAATCTTCCATCAGGATAACACAAGACCACATGTTTCTTTGATGACCAGGCGAAAACTGTTACAGCTTGGCTGGGAAGTTCTGATTCATCCGCCACATTCACCAGACATTGCACCTTCGGATTTCCATTTATTTAGGTCTTTACAAAATTCTCTTAATGGAAAAAATTTTCAATTCCCTGCAAGACTGTAAAAGGCACCTGGAACAGTTCTTTGCTCAAAAAGATAAAAAAGTTTTGGGAAGATGGAATTATGAAGTTGCCTGAAAAATGGCAGAAGGTAGTGGAACAAAAGGGTGAATACGTTGTTCAATGAAGTTCTTGGTGAAAATGAAAAATGTGTCATTTATTTTTACTTAAAAACCAAAGGAACTTTTTGGCCAACCCTACTTTGAAAAATGGTCACCATATAATCGTGAGTGGGCACACTTGTGGTTAAAGAGTTTGGAAATATATTTGTCTTATTTCCCTTATTCTATTATGTTTTCTTCTCTTGTTACTTCCAGACCCTTGCTGTCTCTCATGCAAAGAAGAAAATCTAGGAAACTTAGAGAAATACATAATTACTAATTGAATAGATAATACTTTATGAGTATTAAAAGTCTCCTACTTTGAGTATTAAAATATTGGTATCTTGTAAATGTTTTTAAAGTTCTAGAGTAAAGGAGTAATTACAGATTTTAAGACAAGTGAAAAACTTAACTTTTTTTTGGTCCTTTTCATAGGTTCTCCGGGGACATAAAACTTTCCTAAATGATGCTTATAATTGGGAGTTTTTGATCTGGGAATCAGCTTTACTACTTTTCTTACTGCGCTTAGCCTCACTGGGGTCTGAAACCAATAAGAAATACAGCAATGTCTCAATATTACTTACTGAACAGGTATTGATTGGTCCTTGACAGTTTGATTCAGTGGTTAGAGATGGTATAATAAGATTTCTGCAGAAGATTCAGGGTTGAGTCTAGATTCTGTCACTTTCTAGCTATATGACCTTACACCTTACAAGTCACTTTGCAACTATATAATTGCTTCCTCTTTATAAAATGAGGATATTATCTTTCCCACCTGCTCCCAGGATTGGGTGCTACTTCATAGTATAAAAATTATTTTTTTTGGTGGTAATGGAGCGTGCTTTTAATCTCATATTCTGTGTCAAGTATTAGATCTTTAGAGTACCTGTCATTTAAGGATGTTTAATAAGCTTCTTGACTTTCTTTATCAGTCAAACGCTGAATACATTCAGTGTTTGGAAAATACTTGCTCTTTAGTATGTGAGTAGATATTACAATTGAGAAATGTTTCTTATAAATACAGAGTAGTATAGAGTTGGTTTTTTTGTTTTTAATTTCATGTTTATCCATAAGTTTTAAATAAAAATACCTAATATCATTAGTTTTTTTTTTTTTTTTTGGCCTTAGAATTATAGTGGAGAGTTCTTACCATAAGGGGAAAAACAAGGGATTAGTAAGTTAAAAGCAGCGATCTTTTTCCATTCCATGAATGTTTAAGGAGGATGTTAGATTATTTGGGGGATACCAAGATGAATAAGATATAGTTTTTGAACTCAAGGAGTTTACATTTTAATTGCTATAATTAATATAAAAGTTTGCATTGTTTTGATAAATTGCTTCATTGTTATTTTTTCTTCACTAAATAGCTTTTCTTTGCCATATGTGACTGATTAGGGATGGGGGTTTGGGTAGGTGGCATATGTGCTCTGAAGAAATAGCTACTGGAATTTTGAAATTTATTTTACTTGAAAACATTGACCTCAAAATCTGCCATGTTGAATGCAATATATATATCTATCTTTTCCATGACATTTGCCCTAATCTCTATTCCTTCCCTTAGATTAATTTATATCTTAAAATGGAAAAAAAGCCGAATAAGAAAGAACAGCTTACTCTAGTAAACAATGTTTTAAAGCTATCCACCAAGTTGTTGAAAGTAAGTAATACCCTGTGATACATTTTTACTACCATTTAATTAAATCAATGCTGTACTTCTTGGAGAGGACCCTAGTAACAGATAGATGCTGTGTAGATTCAAACTACCAACTTGATAGTTTGGGGTTAATGACTCTATGAGAAAAAGTTTCCCAACTTGCTACCCAAGTTCTAGTGATTGCTGATGTCTGTCACATTTTAAAATTACATTAAAAAATAACAAATAGCATATTGCTTGAATCCACCTTTAAAAACTTAGCTAGTGGAAAAGTAGGTGAGAGTCCATTACAGGCATTAATTAATTCATTCATTCATTCATTACTTTTTAATTTTAAAATTATTATTTTTAATTGAAGTATAGTTGATTTACAGTATTTCTGGTGTACTGCAAAGTGATATATATATTCAGATTCTTTTCCATTATAGGTTATTACAAGATATTGAACATAGTTCCCTGTACAATACAGTAGGTCCTTGTTGTTTATTTTATATACAATAGTCTGTATCTGTTAATCCCAAATTCCAAATTTATCCCTCCCCCGCTTCCCCTCATTACAGGTTTTTTGAAGGTAGCTATTGAACATTAAGGGAAGAGGTATTAAGCAATCATCCTCTCCCAAGACTGAAAAAAACAGTCGAGAAATCACTGGTGGCTATTATGAAACCATGTATTTCATCTCAGTTCTTTCATGTTTTTGTAGGAGCTGGACACACCATTTAGACTCTACGGACTGACAATGAATCCCTTGATCTACAATATCACACGAGTAGTTATCCTTTCTGCTGTCTCAGGTGTTATAAGTGATCTTTTAGGATTTAATATAAGAGTAAGTGTGATTATCACTTTGTAGCATCTGCCTTGGTCTTAAAACTTATTGTATATAGTAATCTTTGTTCTTCCCACTGTGTGTGTGTGTGTGAGAGAGAGCGAGAGAGGGAGGGTGGAAGGAGGGAGGGAGGGACTGGCATGGAAATAACTCTTGAGGTAGAGAAATAGACATTTGAAATAGACATTCAGCTTAGGTTTTTTCATTTTATGCAAGTACAATAGATCGTGCTCTTGAATGGAACAAAAAAATCAAGTTTGAATCTCATGTCAATTTAATAGCGTGGGCTGGGTTGGCCTCTGATCTAGGGAAATGTACAGAGGCAGAATGAATGAAAACCAAAAACCCGTGAACTGCAGTATATCTTTTTTGATCCTGGAAATTGTTAACGGTTTTTTCTCTATGATGTTCTATGGTTGCTGTTGTCACAGCTGGTACTTTTTTCTTATGTAAACGGTTCTTGGTTTACATGTAAGTGTACCTATCAACCCCACCTATTTGTCATAAAACTAACTATTTTGGTGATTTTCTTTTCTTAGCTGTGGAAAATTAAGTCATAAGCTGAGTCATGTGCCCGGACTTTCTCCCCTTGCTGGCATCAGTGCTTAACCCATTAAGGAGAGAGATGACTGCAAACCCATGAGACACCCACCTGCTTGTTCACACGGAGAGGTGCCCTCAGCTCTACCTAATCTAACGAATGGTGTTTTCAGAGGAACAGAGCCTTTCCAACTGGGTGTGCATGCTAAACACCTGTATTTTCATGGTTTTCAAATAGTATGAGTAGTCAGAAGACTGAAGACTGTGGTGTTATAGTAAGTTAAGGACAACTTTTTAAGTTAGGAAATTTATTCTGGGCATTTCAGTGCTGTGACAGTTATATTTATTGGAAATAGTCTTTCGGGTAACTATGGCAGATGCCCAAAGCATGAAGCAAAATCCTTTATTGGAAATATGCAAATTCAGTACTTTTCTATTACAGTCTATAGAATTGGAGATTTCATTTCTCTAGCAAAGATAGATCAAGTTTAAACTATTTTAGGTTGAGCCTGAATAAAAGAACTTTATTGGAGAATTTCAGTTTCTAGGCTTTTTTGTTGTTGTTGAAAGAAAAAAATAACCTTTTAAACTGTGATTTTCTGTTAAACTATGGAGAAAATTTTACTTAGTTTATAATTTTGAAGTTAATCCTAATAACTGTATAGTTGTTGGTGAAAGAGTCATGCATGTAATATGGCATGTAATCCAGCATGAGAAATTTAAGTCTATGCACACTCATCCGTGTCCACCATAAAACATGTTTTCCATTTAAATCATCTGAGCTATGTTTCCCATCACACTACTAAGTGAAGCGTTCATAGTTTATCTGTTGTGAGACTCAGTGTATTTAACCCTCAGTATAATCTCATGTCCTCGGTGTCTGTACTGAGCCAAGCTATGCCACTGATGATTTGGATTCTCTTATCAGTATCCCCTATTGCACATACATGCGTATACATATGTTAATGAAAACTCTAATAGTCTACATTTAATTCCTGCTCATTAAGTTACCCACTTTGAAGAATCTCTCGAGGCAAATTGAAAGCCCACATTTTAATGACAAGATTTTGTGAATTTTTAAATGGAAATAATTAGGAAACTTAGTTATTACATGTGAAGTATGTACATGCAAAATCAGTGTATCATTTACACATATCCTAATATGCAGGAAGATTTTTGAGGTTTAAAGATGAATTTCTTAAGTCCAGGAATTGAGGTCAGACCTTTCTGGATTCATATCCTTGGCTCTGCTACTTATTAGCTTCGTAGTCTAAGGCAAGTTACTTAACATTTTTGCATCTCAATTTCTTTACCTGCTTCATAAGGATAATAACTACCTAATAGTGTTGTTAAGGTTAAATGAGATTATCAGGTAAGGTACTTAACATAGCATAAAGTACATCGCCCTTAATAAATCCACCATAAACATTTGTAATTACTGTTTAAAACCCTTTAAAAATCTTTTGCTGATAGATTCCTAACTGTGAAGATAGAAACCTAGGGGGCAAGATTGCTGAACTAGAAGTGGATTACCAAAAATTTGCAGCCATTCCAAATACTGCGTGAGAGTTACAATTCTTTTTAAAAAGTAAAACCCCATTATAGTGATTTACCTTTGGAAGGAACTGATCTGTAAAGCCACTTCAGTATCTCAGCAGATGGCTCATAGAAATCATGCTTTAACTGTTTTCCATAAGGGACAATAGCAGCTATCTCAAATCCAGGATTGAACTGCTCAGTGCAGATTTCGGATGAAGAAAGCTTTATCTTTTTCTGTTACAAAAAAAAACCCACTGTTCTATTTTTATTTGAATTTTTTACACAGTGAATCTTTAGCGTAAATGCAGTATTCAGAATAGCTTACTCCTGTGAGTTGTTTCGGTTATAGTTTTGATGGTGTATAATTGGTTTAAATGATTTTTCAGGTGGGTAAAATTAACTGTATGGGTAGTTGCTCATGTCGGAAACTTGGGAATCATTTTTCACTCTTGCCTTTCTCATACCTCACATCGAGTCATCAAGTCTGTGAGTAATTATCTTCTAGATATTTTTCTAATCAGTCCTTTCTTCTCCATCCCCACTTTCACCACCCTCATCTAAGTCAACATCCTTTGTTTTTGAACAAGATTCTGCTTTTCTGCCCCTCTCCCCCATGCCCACCTATTCATCTCAAAAGCTAAGGTGTCTTTTCTGAAATGCAAGTCTCAGTCTCATCGTTTAGAATCTATTAATGGCTTAGTATTACTTTGAAGGTAAAAATCCAAAATCTTTTTAGCAAGGTGTATAGGCCTACCTTGTTGAGAAAGATTTTTGAATCTTTATGTTTGAAAGATGTTTTTTCTGGGCATAAAATTCTAGTTTTAAAGATGTTGCTGCTCTACTGCCTCCTGGATTGCCTTGCTTCTGACAAGAAGTCTGCTGTCATTGTCATCTTCGTTCTTCTGTATTATTATTTTTTTTTAAACTCTGGCTGCTTTTAAGGTTTTTACCTTTTTCAGTGAATTTGTGCTATTTAGTTATAATGTGCATTGGTGTAGTTGTCTTCATTATTTGTGTGTGTGCTTGGGATTTGTTGCACTTACTGGGTCTCTGGATTTTTAGTTTGCATCAAATTTGGAAAAATTTTGACTGTTATTTCTTAAAATAAGTTTTCTATACCCCAGTCTCCCACCTCCTGAGACTCCACATGTTAATTAGGCTGCTTGAAGTTGTCCCACACCTTACTGATGTTCTGTACATTGTCCCAGTCTTCTGTTTTTAATTTCTATTAAAGACAGAAGACTGGCACGACTATTTCTATTGCTGTGCCTCAAGTTCACTAACCTGTTCTTCTGCACTAATTTGCTGTTAATCCTACCCAATGTATTTTGTCTACAGAATTTTGATATTGCTTTTTCAGTTTTTTGTATCCTCATGTCTCTCTTTAACGTGCTGTTTCTTTTCTCTATCTTGTTTTCATAATATTTATAATAGAAATAGTAAATAAGAACATTATAACAGCCATCGTCTGTGTTATTTGGGGGTTTGTTTTTGTTGATTTATTTTTCTCCTCATTTTGGGTCATACTTTCCTGCTTCTTTACATGCCTAGTAATTTCTTAATGGATGTGAATTTTACATTGTTGGGTGTTGGGTCTTCGTGTGTGTGTGTATTCTTTTAAATATTCTTGAGCTTTGTTTTAGAATGCAGTCAAGATACTTGAAAATAGTTTGATCATTTCAAGGCTTGCTTTTAAGCTTTGTTAGGTGGGCCAGAGCAGCCTTTACTCTGGTGCTACTTTTCTCCACAACTGAAGTAAAATCCTCCTGAGTCTACCTGGTAACCCTGTTCATGATCAGGTTTTTCCAGTTTAACTGTGGGAACATGAACTCTTCCCAGCTCAGGAATTTTTGGCCTGCTTCTTTTTGGTGGTTCTTTCCCTGTTGAGTATTTCCTTGTGCTCATCAATACCTGAAAACTTGAAAGGAAACCTCTGCACATTTTTGGAGCTCTCTCCTCTCCGTGCAGCTGTGCTCTCCTCTCTCTGCAGCTGTCTTCTCTCTGGTACTCGGCCTGCCAATTCTAGCTGTCCTGGCCGCCCCAGATTCTCAACTCTCACCTCAACTCAGCAAGGCTGCTTGGTTCAGTTTGGATACCCCCTTCCTACACCACAGCCTAGAAACTGCCTCTAAGTAATCTGGGGCAAACATGGGGCTCACCTCATTGAATTCCACTATCTTTTACTGCCTGTTGTCCAACATCTAACACCCATTTTTTCATATATATTTTTCCTTTTTTGTTTTTAAGTTGTCTGAGGTGGGAGAGTAAATGTTTTTCCCACTTTAGTAAATAGAAAAAAGTTTACTCAATTGCTCAAGCCAAAGGCTTAGGGTTTATTCTTGGTTCCTCTCTTTCCCTCCATATCTAATCTACCAGCCAGTCACGTTGGTTCTGTGTTTCCACCGCTAACAGACTGAGCCTCCTTTGCGCTCAGCTGGATTACTGTGCTGACCCACTGTTCCCTTCCCATTCTTGCCTCTGCAGTCGGTTCTCCACAGCCACGTGAGTGAGCTTAAAAATATGGAGACTATATCATTCCTACTTAAATCCTTCCTGGCTTTCCCTATGCTGGCCTCCAAGGCCCTTCATTATCATTCCAAATTTCCCTCCTCAGTACCTGACAGCCACACTGGCCTCCCTGTGTTCCTCGTTATACCGAGTTCTTTCTTATCAGACTGTGCCTAGAATATGTTTTCTTCAGTTCTCCCCTGAATGGCTTCTCAGCTGTCAGTTCCTTAGCAGGACCTTCTCTGAGTTAAAGTTGTTCCCCATCTTATCCTTGTTATCAGTTATATATGGTCCTGTTCATTTCCTTCACGGCACTTATCAGAACCTGATTATCTTGTTTATTTTTTGCCTACTTGTTTCTGTCCTTCCCCACTAGAATATAAGTCCCTTAAGGCAGGAATTTTTGTTGTTGTTGTTTTTCACTCCTAGGTCCCCAGAATGCAGACGAGTACCTGACCCCATAATAGGTACGTAATATAAATGCATAGAATAAATGAATAGACCTCAAGTAATCTACTGTTTCTGTAGTTTTTTTTTTTTTTCTTCTGTTAGGATGGAAGAGTTGTACTGTCAGTGCTTCATTTATTCCTGTATAATAATTTCTAGGAGATTGGACTTTTGTTTTGATCTCCCAAAAGGAGTGATACCTGCTACTGAGAAATTAAATAAACCAAGATGTAAAACTAGAACTGGATTAGGCCATACATATATTTCATTGAAATAATAATAACCATAGATGGATAAGAAAAATACCTGTTCAGCTACTTTTATAATTTGTATTGGGAAAAATTCTATCTCCTAAAATCGCTATGGAGGTATGACTTCAGACTTCCTAAATATGTACAGACTTCCTAAAAATGTACATTATATGCCTCATGTATAATATAAACACTTTGAAAAGTTGAATAACCAAATACTTGCCTAATTGGGGTATGGTTTTCTTAACTTTCAGAGACAAGTAGAAAAGTTCTAAATACCAGGATGTCCTCCAAAGTGTAAGCTTACGGGTCTGTGTTTTTAATTTTGGTTCATTGTATCTAGAGGTAAGTGAACCTGTGCACTGTAAAAATAACCCTCTTTCAAATTAATGAAATTCATTTTCAAAATTTTTTAGTCTACACACACCATAATGGGCCAAATGGGTCTTACTCCCAAATATAGTGTATGATTTGGAATTATCAAGAAGTAAATTCATTAAACTTCATCTCATCTATACAGCTGTTGACTAGTTTGGTCATTTAAAGTAATCCTTTGCTCCTTGCAGTTATTGGTGCCCATCTTGAATAATGAAGTTTGAATTTCACAAATGTGAAATAATTCCATTCCTTTCCTGCAGCACACCCTGAGCCTATATGCTGTAGTAAGGTATTACTCAAGGTAACAAATAGTTGTTTATTACGGACAAAATAAGCCTCTTGATTTGCTATAAAAATTTGCTAATAGTTCTGCTTGACTTTAATGCAAACATTGTAAAATAGACAAATACCCACAGGATTCTTTGGAAAAATATAGGTTCAGGCTAAATTAAAGCACTTGGCTATGTTTTTGTATTTTAATGTGTATGTGAGAAAGGTTCAGAGTTCTTTGGCAGAACTCTACTAAATTCTACTCTCAATAAGCCTTCATACTCGCTTCTTACACTTAAGGCTCTACTTGCATAGAAACTTTGAAAACAGATCCAAGTTAGTGGATACCTTAAACTAATTCAGTCAACTGAAGCAAAGATTATAGAGTTCATGTCATAATTATGGCGTGCGTTAAACCAGTCATTGTATTGCTGATAAACCTTAATAGCATAAGCAGTAAAGAGCTGCCTAAATAAACAAATCTGTTATTGTTTAAAAAGCACAAGTAGTTCTTAGCACTGGAGCATGCCAGGATGATGTAAGAAGTTGCTCTGATATATTCTTCACGCCAGACTGAATCATCACGTTTCGTGACTGAAGTCTGTTTACACCACTGTTCCTTAGTTCCTGGAGCTCACTCTGGACTAAGCTCGAGCTTAAACACATCTCTGTGGAGGTCGGTAGTTAAGACTGTCACACAGTTTAACTAATTTGAGTAGTCCTTGCTTTCTTAAAACCCAATTCTTTTTGAATGTTGGACACATTAAACAGGAAGCTCTTCATTAGTTCACCTTGAAAAGCATCTGACTTCTTCTACATGAGAATATCTGACTATTAAAAAAGGAAATAACCAAGGTATGCTCAGGTAGAAATAAAAAGCCGCATGCTTTTCTGTGTCCAAGACTTCTGAAATAGGAGTTGACTCTGTGCAAAAGCTACTTGGCCCCAAATATTTAACGTACAGGGGTTAGAAGACAATAGTATAGACTCTTACTCACTAATCTCCCTAGGGAGACAACGTGATAGCATCCCAGAACTTTTTTGCTGTTACGACCAATAAGAAAATATGTCCACTAAAACAGCAACAGAATGATTTTGCTGCCACTCTGCAGGCTTTGCTACAACACACATCTCCATGGTAGGGCTCGGGGTTTGGAGTTTATTTTCAGTGTGAGTTCAGTAATGGCAGGCGGGAATTAATTTCTCTCCTCAAGAGTATTCAGTTAACCATGGTCTTGAGCTAGGTTTTAGGCATTATTCATTCCAAGAATTTCAGTGAAATCAAGTCAAAATACTTCACTCTACCAGTACAACCTAGAGTAAATAAAATGATTTAAAAATAATGTGAAATGCCACAGTCTGATGAAATAGAGTTTGTGACCTTGTGGTAACTGGACTTACACAGCTACGTCCATTAGAAATGTCTGATGACAATTTCCAATAAGACAAGTCCTTTTCTTTCCCTGACAGTGTAAGAAAGGATTTTTGGGGGGGGTAGCAAATTATTTATGCAAAGCTATTTTCCTTACAGTGAAAGGTATTAAGTAGGTATAATGATATTCAACTCAAACTAATTTTGAGCTTTACATATAGATAAGTATAGCTATACAGGTAAAGTCATCATTGTAAGAGTCTTTCTGATTGTAGGACTTTGAATATTTGTTACTTTTGTAGGGATAAAAATCTATTTGAGGACTCAGACCATGATGAGAATTAGCTCCACAAATAGAAAAAGCAACATTACATAAACCTGACAGTAAAAGAAATGCAGGCCATGAACTGATTTTTGTTTTTCTTTTTTTTTTAATATCTATATAAAAAATAACGAGCGATTTACAGGTCTCTTTCTCTAATCAGAACCTCAAGTGTATATATAAAGGTACTGTACAATATATAAACATTTACAACCAGTACATCCATATTTTGCTTAGCATTCCAAGGCCACATTGCTAAGTCAGTACAGAATCAGTACAGTGACAGGTTACTTAGAAAAAGGAAAGAGCCACATCAGACTGACAACAGATGACATCAAAGTTATGTCGCAGTTAACAAAAATTGGATTTTTATCACTAATTGTGGACTATAGGGAAAATAAATCATTTCTGTGATACTAAATTCTTAGCATTTATCAAGCCTTCTAATTCGTCTCTATTCAAGTAGTTACAATAGGTGGGTAAATATAGTTCTGGATGGAAAGGGGATTTCAGAAATCTCACTCCGGGAAGCATGTCTTATCTACAGGGGCTGATTTAGTTGTTATATTAAAGAATTTCACAGTCAGACTCTGAGAGGGAAGGACCTGGACATGATGTGTTTCACAATAACAAGATGAACCCAGGGTGACAGAACAAGTGTGTTCAAATACTCCAGAAAATGGTTTTATTCTGAGAATGTTCCTTTATTTATAGATGCTACTGAATGCTGCTTCCGGGGGCTGAGAAACCCGGATCTATTTTATGGAGCTAAAAACTGTCTCTACCTTCCAACAAACATCTCTAATTAGACTTGAGAAAAGAATTCTGAAAATCTGTACAAGCTAAGCAGATGTTTACGCTCCCTTTCTTCTTTGTAAATAGGTTAATGTAGCTAGATATTAAAATTAAGATCTAGCAAGGACTGTCTACCACCACGTTTGTTCTCACTTGCTTGTGAGTCGGTCTCACACAGGTTCTGCTTCTCAACACTTGAACTTGTACAGCGGCTGCCAGATGAGTTGGTACCTCATCTGGCAACGGACCGTGAAACTGGTTTCATGATTAAGTCCCTCTTCAAATATGTATTATGTATTAATGACTAATGACTTAGTAGTTGGTTCAACCAAAATATCCAGAAAGAGAAATTTGGTAGTTTTTCTTCAGATAGCAATAAGCAATATTTCCATATGCTTCTTTGTGGTTTCATAATAAAATAAATGAAATAAAAGGGTGATCTGAGATGCTATAACACATTAGAGTTGGATAACACAGCAGGAGGTGAACTCTTAATCAATTGAAGTGCTTTCTCATTTGAACATTCATTTGTAAATCACATCTTTAACAGTTATTTGAAATACCTTATCCGGCCGAATTAAAATAAACAGCCATAAGAAAGTCAGTATTTGACTACATTTTTTTTTTCTTTCCAGTAGCGATGTTTGGGAGTTTTATTTTTAAATGGGGACATCATCAGTAAGCTGTTAGGAGAGGCAACTGCCATCTTTAATGATGAGTTAACAATCTCTTCTTCTGCAAGGGCTCAAATATTTCTCTCTGTAAACATGCAACATGCTATTGAGAATATCAACTTCCAAGCCAAACCTAGTTTTTTCATTACTGTGGAAATATCTGCGTGAGAAGGATAAAATAGACATGATACAGTAGATAACTTGGCACAAATATAAAGTGAGTTGTGACCACGTTGTGAATATCAACATGTCATTTGTTCAGACACTCATGAAGACGAGCTGGGCGGCCTGAGCCGGGCGTGTCCGATGAGCCCGTGGGTGCGGCTCCTTCCTGAGCGCAAGGCGGGCAGCCAGCCAAGGGGACAGTGGGTTCTTAGCAATCCTGCAGGCCCTTCATGCAGCCTAGGTAACTTGATGCTCAAATTAAAATGTACTTCTGATGTGTGTTTCAGAATTCCTGAAAAAAATGATTTTGGGGGGGGGAGGGGAACACTGCTTTTTAGTAGGAAAAGATTACAACTTGTTTTTTTGTTTTATACTAAAGGTCACAGTCGCTTCTCGGCCACACCAGTAGTGCCTGTGGCTCTGCTTGCACTTGGCACCTTCCAAGGCCCTGGAGTTATTGGTGTTTTCTTAGCTGGAGAACCGCTTTCAGGTTTGAACCCTCCGCTCTCTTTGTTTTTGTCAGCTGCCTCTAGTTCTTTTCTTTTGTGATCTTCTATTTTGTTTAAAACCATTCTTTCTTCAGGTTCCTGCTTTGGCTTCTTTTCTGATATTTTGACATTTTCTCCTATTTTATCTTTACTAGAACTTGTTTCTACTAAGGTTGCCTTCTTTCCTTTTTCATTTTCTGATATAGCTCTACTAGTAGTGTTATTTGTCTTTTTGGATGGAAGCGACTTTTCATCCATTCTCTTGCTTTTTTTCTCTGGAGACCTGGTTCTGTTTTTTCCAGGCTGACTCTGATTTGTATCTTTCCTGACAACACCTGATCTTTCTTTCCCATCTGACATCTGCTCAGCATTGTTGCTAGCATAGCCCCCTACTCTTTGGTTCACATTTGATTGGTCTTTGCTTCCTTCAGTTTTTTGCTGCTTCTTTGGGCTTGAAGACTGTCCTCTGCTTTTTCTGCAATGGTCTTGTCCAGAAGCTGCCCTGGTGCTGATCTGACTACTTTTATTCTCTCCTTTCCTGGGGCTGAGTGATCGATCTCTGGGTCCTCTTTTGGGGTCATTTTTTAGAGGGCTGGGAATCTTTTCTAAATGTTCCTCTGAATATCGACTGGCTGACTTTTTGGGACTAGCAGATCTGCCTCTTGGTGTGACACCATTTTCTACTTTCAAGAGATTTTTCTTATCACTGTGCCCATGACTGTTGGGTGGATCCCTTTTATTCACATTTTTATGGAGAAGAGACTGATGTTTTCTATCAGACTGATTTTCATTTAAAGTGCTTTTCTTTTCAGGCACAATGTCCTTTAATTCTTCTGCCTTTTCACATATCTGAACTCTCATCAAAGATTCTTCAATTACTGGCACACGAGACTCTTCAAATATGAAAGCAGAATGTGAAGATGGGTGAAATGGTGACTGTTCATCATAAATCACATTGGAAGATGAAGGGTTATTAATATTCCAATCACCTAAAAAAAGTGATTTGAGTAGAACATTATTAAATTTTAGAATTATAAATAGGAACAATTAAGT